TATTGTAAAGATGTGCATCACAGATGAGTCGCCCTCACCGGTGCAGACTGACTGCATCAACAGTTATTTGCAAACTCAGCAATCTGTCTGAGAGCGATTGCAGTCAGTCCGTGTCCTGGCTTTCTTTGGAGACGCTCCCTCCCTCGTGGTCACCTAAAGGTTGAGGGTATTGCACGCTTGGTCTTTGGCACCAAAAAATTCAGTGCAGTCAACGTGCAACTGTTGGCTTTGTTTTTTCCTCTGTGCAAGGTTGCTGTTCGGTTTGGTCGTTAGTGAAAAATGTGAATTCTCTGACCGGCTGACGAGTCGCTGTTGGCTCCTTGCAGTTGCTTTGGTTGCTGGTAGATTGCAATTGTCGCCTGTAGTTTGCATGGGCGGTGTACAGTCATCTGCAAACACCGCTGAGATTTAGTGAAGCTCGAAAAAGTGCGACACAAACTAGATATGGAAGTTGTGCCTTACCACTGACTTATCATCGTTTCATTATTTTGGTCAGACTTTTTTCAAGATTTACTACCACTTCAAAAGTACTTAGCATCTGCTGTGCAGACTTCAACAACTGTGGCAATCCGCTAGCAACCAAAGCAACTTTATATAATACGCATTTGTGGTCAATTTCGACTCACAACTGCCAGAAACCGCTTGGCAACTCATTGGGAAGTACACATTTGCCCCTGACAGCGTAACTAAAAAGCAGCAGAAAACTAAAAATTCTGAAAATGAGCATCTTCTTATTTCATGGATGAATCTATAAGCAATATCAGTGCTTTTCTTTCCAATTAATCTGCTGTGTGTGCGTGTTCAGACCAGCTGAATTCAGCACTGTTTCCTGCCTCTGTCAATATACAGATGAGATTAAATATAGATCCACTGAATGGCTGTCGCTGAAGCACAGAGGCCGAGGTTTACTCCGACATGTAAATGGTGCACACCGTCTCTCATAGCTAATTAGGAGCAAACTACACCGACCCTTCAATGAAATTTGTTAGCAGGTTTTTGGGAATATTTTGAAAATGACAGACCTGTAAATCAGAGCGATGCAGACCGGATGTGTTAGTGAGTAACGCACACGCTGTGAGACATTTGTTGTTTCCGTCCTCTCGTGTGTTGAGCTGAGACATTAACCTGATGGATCCAGTTTAGACGCCTCCGGGTGAGTTCAGTGAAATCTTCAAATACGACTTCTGCAACTTCACTGATGGAAGTTTTGTACTGTGAGTTTCTGCGTTCCTCGCTTCTCCTGCACTTCACTTCTGTTCTCTTTGAAAGTTACACGACATACAGTCAGATGTTAATCGCAGAGGAAACCTGGAGCTGACGAAACTTGGGATACAATTCTTGTACATTTTGTACAGATGCTTTTGAATTCTCCAGAGGACTGAAGTATAAAGTTAAAGGTACTTGAATCATTAAATAAGCTTTTGTATATGCTGTTCTTTGTATCGTTCAATAATTTTAGCCCCCTTTTTTAAATTGCCTGTCTGTACACCAATATACATGTACTGTATGTTATACCTGTAATATGGAAGGATTTCAATACATACAGACTTGAGGATTCAGCTCCGTGTTGGTTCTTTTATTTTGAGTTCTTCATTTGACTTCATTAAAATCATCAAACAGCCGTTTGA